TTCTTCTCTGCGCCTACAAGTCTTTCCCTCTGACGGTGAAATTGAGACAGAAAACAATAGCAAAAATCTCCATTTGAATAGCCATTTATTTTGTTTCCTCTTTTCTATACAAAATGATGTGATATATAATGTAACGTATTAACCAGTTGATGAGTCACAGAAAAAAGCTTGTTCGCTAAACTGCATTTTCCCTTCAATGTGTGTCGCTGGTATATTCCGGGAATTAAAACAGACCAAGGACCCTATCGTACTACGCGGACTTAACAAATACGTTAAGCTTCGTACGAAATTGGCAGCGGCGGAAACTTGTGTTGAGTTCATCACGGAATGTTTGAAAAAATACCAGTTCCCCAAACTGTATTTTAAGTCTCTGAGAAGGAATCGAATCTGTATCCCACACCAAATCCTCATACGCCAGACTCTGAATGAAAAGGACACAATGGCTAGAAATATCGAGGAACTACGTAGAAACTTTGCCAAATCCACTCACGTTCTGGATTGACTAGCGTACGAAGAACGTAATCGTTGCGAGTCATTCGTGGAATCAGTGGGGAGGAAAGAAATCGAACGAAAGCGCAATGTGAAAATACCAGAAAAGATTACATACTTGAGAGTAACATTATGACAGATTATGAGTATTGGTGAAAAGACTAGGGAGATCATGCAACGAGTAAGATAATGGGAGCCAGTCTTGGGACAGAAAGGATCACACTTACTCATGTTGATCAAAGTGAAGTGGGACAAGAACCAAGTATGAATTTCCTTAAGGCTGTCTGAGAGCAATTGAGGGCAGTTTATACCATCGAAACGGCAATCAATCAAAATATCATAAGCATACTCGCAGACAATGAAGTTTAAAGGAATGAAGAACCTTTGGAAAGCATTAGAGCCCAGTGTTCCGAAATACTGCTGTCTATCATTTATTGAAGTAAACTGCATTTTATGGAAGAAGTGGTGAATTAAATATCAGTATTTGAATCGGTTTAGAATGATAGTCGACACAGACGTGTCCTACTGAGGCATCCAAAGAGATCTATTATTTCAATAACCTTGGTCGTTCAGTTGTTTCCATGCCTTCAGAGTTGAAAATATGGGGTAGAAGAAGCATGCGGCTGTATTTACCACCAGCGAACTCAGGAAGGCCGTTTGCAATGACTTTACTGTTATTCCGCAAAAGCACTTTCAGCATAAATCAGCCGAAGCAAAAAATGATTTAAAGTGGGAAGCTATCGGGTTTTGGTTGTAGTCCCGGTTACTCTGTTCGAAATCCTCCCAAAAGTATTTTTTAGCTCGGGACAGATTTTGGATTTTGTGTTTATAGAACTCACATTGTTGCTACCTCTCGTTTTCAAAAATATTTGGGTTCCGTTTTTCTCATATTTATCTTCAAAAAAAACAGCAATTTCTTATAAAAATAAGAAGTAGAACTACAAACTCAAGTTTCTAACTACGTCTTACAAACACAGCATAACCGTTTCTGAACGCATTCAGATAGTAAAACATCCGTAAGGTAACTTGGCGTTTCATGCATCCCCTATGCAGGTCAAACACGATAACCGTATTTATCGTATGCACAGCTTGTATGATATGTGTAATAGCTTCCCGTAAAATTTCTGCCTCCTCTCAAACACACTATATGTAATTAGGCATGTATTCTTTTATTAGAATGTGTTGAAACTTCGCCAGCGTAAGTTCTAGCTCTTGTCCGCATTCTTCACGTATCATATGGATCGTCTCATTTCACCATAGATCACACCAAGTCATTGCTTAAACACCTCTTTCATGTGATCAGGATTTGGCTAGGTTTTCTGGTTGACTTGTTCATAATGAGACGACAAGAGCCGTGATTTTGCATAAGCAGTCACGTGTAAATAATGCACACACACATGCATTGCTCAGGGTGCACACCTGTTGCGAACAGGAGTCGTTCGCATCCTCCGGTTTTTAATCAGACGATCAATAGTGAATCCTTCTTCGGTTGGATCAATGATAGACAGAATGCTTCTCCACCCGAAAGCGAGTTGAATGTTTGTGTTCGTGTGGTTTGCTGTTGTGCGTTCGTGTGTGTGTGTGTATGTAAGTGTGCGTGTGTGCACACGTTAAAGATGGTGTTCAATTAGGTGAGCGTTGCTGCATTTGGGGTCTCTTCACAACAGAAACTTCCGGGATCATTGAGTAGATGAGCCGTGAGTTTTTGCTTGAACTGAAACCACTCGCAGTGTCCCATTTCGATGCACATTATCGTTGCGTTATCGTTTGTTTCATTCTCGAGTTTACAATACATAAACCACTTACAAAGTAAAAACATTCTCAGTTTCGATAATATCCCTTGCTAATTATAGTGACTATTAAAATTACTGGTTTCTGCCTTTCATTTTTTATGAATAGTTGTCGAATAAGTCTGCCTCTGGTGCGTTAATTAATATGATTACCATGCATATTCATGTTTGCGATTTTGGTCTAATTTACTGACCAAACACTTTTACTTGGAGAATAAATATAACCGATTTCTGCGGATTTGAGTAAAATAGACAGGCAAACGACCATGAAATGAAATTGATGTCCAACTCTGATGCAATATTAGAATGAATTCGAACTGGTGTTTCATATGAGATTTGATGAAACGGAATAGAACGGCAACAAGCTTCTCTGTTGCTATTCACTGGTTTTTCCAGTTTCGCACATAAACCTAGCGAAATAAAAAGGGTAAATAAGGTTGGATAACAATCCTGAAGTCAGATTTTATAGCTTCTGATCCGGGTTATTCTTGAGTGCATGAACAAATCGGTTGGGCGGGTTTTTCCACGAGCTGTTCCATCATCAATTAAGTTAATAGCCATTGTGCTTGCGACAGTTTCACCAAAGACACTTGTTTTGTAGAGGAAATAATCAGTTAGACTAAGAGGTAAACTACAAGACAGTCAGTGTTCTATAAATTCGGTAAATCGGAAATATCGCCGGAGAAAGTTCTGAGCCAGGGTTAACGAAATACTGTGATGCCATCGATTACTTCAGAGAAGGTTATCATTCTACCATAAATCTGATGAAAATCTTGGCGGGACGCACTCAGTCCGTGATTATAAAGCTCAGCTGAAACATTTATTCTTATAAAAACTAAACACTATTTATCGCAGTGGAATGCACTTCAGGGTATTCAAATTCAAGTATGAAACTAGGTTAAGATTTAAAACTATTTTGCGATCATTTTATCACAAATTCAACCGAGAATCTACATTTTAGGTTTCACTAAAATAGGTCATTCTGGCTTATAGTGAAACGTATGTAGACAGATACTTAAGCACGAGAACCAGGCCATCTCAAATACTTCACACATAGTTTTAATCACTGTAGAAAAAACGAATGTCTCATGTGGACTAGTTATTTTTGTACAGCCGATAGTCTGGTAAACGCCATCGTCCCAATTTGTTAATGATTCTGACTACGACAGATGAACTAATAAATCCAGTGAAACTTGAAATTGCCTACAAATAAAATAGGACGCTGGATTTTAAAAGTCATGCAGTATTCGAGTCAAGCTGTAATGAAGCATAAACCATAAAGCAATGAAAGCAGTATTTAATACTTAAATTCATTAAGGGGAAAAGTAGAGATTAGAAGAAACGTAATTCAACTGCAATTGTGGTTTTCGTCTTATTTTTTAAAATTTCCCCTCGTAATTCTGTCCTAACTAATAGTTAATTACGTTATTTATCCCGTCTGTTTGTGTTCTTAACTCCCTTAGAACTAAATCACTGTCTATACTCAAAATTTGCTTGCTTTTTCAATCTAATTGTCATTATTCATATAATTTTCGGAAGGGTAACTTTTAAAATGTAAATTAACCCAGTTCGTTTTCGGAGTGACAAATTTATGGGGATATCATTGCGTCAGAAGTTCAAATTGTGCTGTAAACAAGCTCTGACCCAATACATTTACCTGATTAACCTGAAAATTAACTCTTTACGTGTTGGGCATCGATTGCTGTTATCTAATTTCTTTTTTGTCCGCCATCTATTTCAAGGTCATCACTAATCGATGATGGTCGAAATGGTCGACTGGGGTTCATATGTGATGACGATTATTTTATGAAAGACGCACTGAGAAACAATTAGGTACCAAACTTGTTGAGAACGTTTTCAATCAAACTTTTGAATCAAATGGAACCCGAGATTTAACAGACCGTAAATCGATTCCGAAAAATGCTGAATTTACTTATATTTTCCACTCTGAATCAAGCTTTTACAAAACTTTGATGACTGATATCGTAATGGACATCGTTTTTACTAGTTGCAGAAGCAAATCCGTTTCATTTTTAACTGGTTGATGGGCATCAGAAACTAGAATATTTTTATTCTCTAATCTTTGCTGGAATCTCGCCAAGATTTATTTAGATTTTGCTCCTGTGAAGTGACAATTAAAGCCTATGAAGACTTTAAATAATATAGTACTTTCTAATCTATTATCTACTTATTTCAACAACAAAAAAACATTTCTGTGTATTTTACTTACTTGCAAAACTTTCGATCTTTATTGCAAAACGTTTTGCTAAAAGTGTCCCCACAAAAATTGAAAAGCAAGTTGCTCACGTCCATTTTTGTGACTTTAACTCTGTTCAAGACGAACTTCATTGCATTTTTTAGAATGACTTTTGAGACCTAAAACTGTCCGTTTTCCTATTAAAAACTATGTATAATTTTCTATATTCAACTAGTTTATGAAGCTGTTTTAATTCAGATTGGCATTATCGTGCTTCCCACAGATAGATCATGAGTTCCATTCCCGCTACCGTCATCAAACATTTTCTCTTCTTTTAACCTCCCGTTGATCCCTTGATAGACGCGATATTTTTCCTAAAAATTAACTGCCCTCCCGAATTTTCAATAACAGGAGATAGGCATTTATATAGAACAAAACTGGTATTTAACTAGACTGAAAATATTTTCCGAAATTTGAAATTGGAGCTTGGAAGTTATGATCGCCGTCTCGACTATGGACTTACAATGACCAGGCAAGTATTCAATTCTGAACAAAATTCCTCGCTTCATTTTCTTACACACGATATTTTTCTACCCATTCAGCTCAGTGCCCAAGCCCTCAAATCGTACTATGGGTCTATGCCTAATTTGATAGCCGATTGGACCAACGAACAGGATAGCTACGATCCCAGATCCGGCCCAATAATACAAGGTAACATGGAGGATGACGTCCAGTTGTGTTTGAACCAAGAGACCAAAAGAGATCGCATTTCGAATCAGCTTAAAGCAACTCACCGAACTAAGTCCTATAATCTTGTCCCTACACCGGAGAATACGGCCCCTATGCATCCACGAGAAGCATTGGTTTGGAAACCGGAACATGAACCGGTTCCCACTTTCGGAGATTCCCCCGGTGGCTATCCGAATCGCGTTCTCTACGGCAGCCCAGAAAGTGAATCATTCATCTCGGAACAGACAGAACATGAAGAGTTGCCGCTCACATTCACTCAGGCAGCGGATGCGTTGAATAATTTACGACTTGACTGTCCTAATCCGGCACCTGTACGTCGACGTGAGACTGGAGCAAGAAGTGCAGAATCTATCTATGAGGGCGATGACACCTTGATTGAAGATAATGATCCAAATACGAACTTCGAGAAATTTTTCGAAGATAAAATTCATGAACAAAATCTTCTGTTGAAATTAATGCGAATGGAACAGAGGAACTGGGAGGGACGTATTGTGAACGCTCTACAATATCGAAATGAGGCAAGTCTAGAAAATACCTTGTTAAAAACAGTAGTGAAAATGGAAGCATGGGCTTTTACTGGTGCCTCTACCGAAAAGAATCAGTTTTACGACCCTTATTCTGGAATCACATCCTAGGGTATAAAGACACCAAACCTATGTGGATGAATATACTGTTATTTAGAGAGATGCCTGAAAAAACAATATACTAATATGAAATAACATGTTTGTTTTCTCTCTTGCAGCTAGAAAACAATCTTCGCATGTACCGACGACATCGTCAGCAGACACATTCGAGTAAGTACAAGGATACACGAAATACATACCTAGTTAGTCCCAATGCACCTTAAAAATAATCCTCTGGAACAGTTAATCAACGGATTCTGTGACAATTAATCGATTGGGTTTTAACAGACTTGACTTCAGTCAACAAACTGTTAAAGTTTAACTGAGCGATTGATCGTTTAATCGAAACCGTTTTTCTCAGGTTTCTTCTTCTAAGCCTTTCCGATATGAAGCATGGGATTGGAACAAAGCACTTTGTCAATAAAAAGGAGATAAGACGCTTAAAGTAGTATAATCACAAAATTCTCTCAGTGAATTACATTGTGCTGCAATAGTCGGTTCTAATAACTGCCAACGAATGAATTATAGTCAATAGAATGCTTGTTGTTTACTTGATATGTGCTATTTGCAAAGATAAACTTCATATTGCGTTTAGAGATTGTCATCTGAAAAAGGTACGCAAAATATACACAAAAATGAATGTCAGCCCCATAAGGTGATATTATTTTCCAATAACATTCTGACTTGATTAGCATCGTGACCAGATTCGTACGAAAAAAAAGAAAATGCTCACTTTCTCCCTTTTTGATTGCAATGAAAAAGAACTTCATGGCCTCTTTGACAACAACGGAACTCATTGCTGCAAAGTTTTATTTTTGTACCTCTGAAACCACTCGGATCTTGAACTACAGTCTGTGAAAATGAAATCCCTAACACAGAGCTGTATCGTCGAGGGAGAATAACTCGAGCATATTATCCATGAGAAATGGGTTCACCGAATAAATTTCCACAGTCCTCTCGTGATTCTACTTGTATGATAAGAACAAAAAGGATTGAGTAGATGATATTTAGAATAAAATCTTAAAGTCAGTCCTGCTTGCATCTCAGAATAAAGATCTATGTGGTACAAAGAGTTTGATCACATTGTTACTGTTTTCGGGTTTCACTTTGACCTCAATTTCCATATAAGGGATGCAAAGGTACTATACATTTTAAGAAGGGACTGAACCAGAACACTTTGACATGTTTAAAACGGCAATACAATACAAATGTAACACTATATGTACTACATATACTCATTATCACAGGATCCCCGTATCGCATTTCGTATGTTCAAAGAGGATTGCACCCAATTAACCAACAAAATATCGGACAGAGACGATTTAGCAGTTCTCGTTTCGCAAATCGACCCGGTTCAAATCGAGTTTCGGGAGACTATTCCAATTGGGGGTTCGGTAATCGTCGACCGGCAATCGGATTTTCCCAATACGCTTCCGGGTCGATGGATTCCATCGATGATTTGACCCGGAGTCCGATGTGGACTCCAGATGAATTGGATAAACCGAACGGTCAACTGCGACCCATGATGTATCACCATCTCATGCACAATCCGTACGCAATGCCCAAACCCGGTCCGGAGTTCGACGGACTGACATTCGTACCTGGAAAGGATAATGAAGGTAGTTGGTTAGGATTAGAAACAATTTTTTACCGTCAAACAATTATTTTTTGGATTTTTCTGAGTCTATATTTATTTCAAAAGAGAAGACCATACGGCAATACTGCACGATTTATGTCCAGCACGATTTCGCTGCATCTAAACGTGGTTCATACTTCAGAAAATACAATGTTTATATAGGGCTTTAGCATAGCAACAAAGTAAAGCAAAACACATTGAAAACAGACAAAATATAAAAGAGGGAGGGGTAAAAGGAACGATATCACCAGGGTAGGGAGAGATTAACATAAAGTTCTTTTTGCTGATACAGGGGGAGGGGCTTCCATCGATTAATCACAATCGCTTCGGCAAACCTTAGCAATCTCGCGAATTGTGACTTGTAGACAATTCGAAACGCTGTGCCTCGGTCGATCTGGTGTTGCGCCATCAGCAGATGTCGAGCAATTGCTGAGACTGTGGTCTTGTAGTTTCAACCGTTGTTTCTATGCGGCGGACTTGACCTCAATTGGGTCAGCTGATTTTGGGCCCAATTCGGAATATATTTCACCACCCGATTGCGTAATTGTCGCTCTGTTCGGCCCACGTAGGTTGCTCCGCAACTACATTGGAATTGGTAGATTAAATTAGAGTTGGCGTACAGAGGCAGACGTTCTTTTGCCGGGGTGTGGGTATCCCGGTTGTCCGGTAGACGATTTGGGGGTCGGCTGCGTAGTAGGTTTGAGCGATTTCTGACCTCAGTCGTTTGTAGAGCAGGCGGCTTACGTCATCACCTTTGAATTAAAGATGCAATGTGACCCTCAATTGGGGAACTGACGCAATCGGTTATTCCGCGATTTTAGGTTTGCTATGCTTATTAACAAACGCCTTGGTGTAAGCGCTTTTTACTAAAAACTCCCGAAGGTTTTGCAGTTCTTGTTCAATTCTGTCTTCCGTGCAGATTTGCCTCCTTCTGTCAAATAAGGTCCGAACAAGACTACGTTTATACTCGAGGGGCATAAAGCTCTCGAAGTATAAATATTGGCTTGTCCACGGTTCCTTTCGATAAACGGATCGAGCAATCGTTTCATCCTCTCTTCTGGTCATACGAATGTCAAGGAAATTGAGTGTGTTGTTGGATTAATATTCCATTGTGAAGTGTATAGTTGGATGTATTTTTTTATATATATTATATATATATTTTATAAATTTATATATTATATTGTTTATATTTATTTATTACTTGCGGGAGATTCAGAGGTTATCTCAAGTAGTAAACAACATTGATTATTGATACGAAGTAGATTTAGACGTAAATGGCTGAAAATATTTGGTACCAGATTGCTGTCACAAATACGAAAATAAAATATTAATAAACAGTTTTCTCATGGATTAGATGATGAACGACTAAATTTGGCCTAGATGCAGTCAAATATCATTGTTATAATATTGAATGTTGGTATTGAATTAGTTCACGTTGCAGCCACTGTCATACTGGAATCCGTGGAGTTCCGTTTCCACGCAAAGCTACCATCAGTCGCCTTTGGTATTAGGAAGCTTAATATGTAAACTAATTGCCTCTTGTTAAATGAGTGAACTGTTTCGTATTACTACTTTGCCCTATTAGTTTTCCTATTTTTACATGTCTATTGATTACGATGAGAGGTAAATTACCGTTTATCTAAACAACAGCTCTTCGTAATTTCGCATTAAACTTGAAAACCCACCATACAATGCAAAAGTCCTCATCTATTTGCTACAGTTTGAATGATTTCTATGGTGACCGTTTGGTCAGCAGTTGAGGGATTACAAATAGTAATAATTGGTTTCTGATTGCCGGAGCGAAATTTCCCTTAAAGCCAAAGTTTCTCTTCTTCACTTTTGTTTTTCATGAATCATGCACAGTTGATATCCTTTTGACAAATCCCTTGTATCTCCTCTATTTGATTTACCCCAAATAAGTTATTTACACGTTTCAGTGTTACTTGCCATCTAGCCTGCCTACAGATCCAAGAGGATTATTGTGCAGTTAGTTCTAGGATTTTGATACCACAAATCCCAGCAATTTCGGACAAAAGGGGAACCCTGATAAATGCACGACAGAGAAACTCTGAAAGATTAAATAATTTTGCAATATCCAGTTGATAATTAAGGAACTAGAACAAAGAACATTGGTTATATCCAAACCACTTCGCTCTATTTTTGGTGTTAGAGTGGAAAAGTAGAGAGACTTACTTGACGTTCGTTTTCATTGCTTTTCCTCAATGTACTTTTGTTAAAAACAAGCCCCTTTTTATTATTAAGAGTTTAATGTTGAAATCGTGACAAGTTTATCAGCCCCGGTGGGATTCAAACCTAGGCATGGACGCCGCTTACGCCTTGCGCTTACGTTCTACCGTCTGCGTTAGGAATTAAAGAGTTACCTTCTCACATCTGAATGACCGGTTTATAAGTGGGTTCGAATCCCACCGAGGCTTTTTAACGTTTCACAATTTCAACGTTAGACTTCAACCTACCAAAAAAAAATTTAAACACAAAGACTTACCCCGAAAATGGCTTGGAGCTGTTCGTAACATACAAGAAACACCCTACCCATGAGTGTCCCGTTTTCAATAAACGATGAGTTACTGTTTGCTTTGAATACTTTTCTTGATAAAACCCACATAAAAACGCCACACCGTTTTTACTTGAAATATATTATCACTGCGCTGAAGAACTGCAGAAAACAACCGAGGTGTAATTACCGTTGACCTGCAATAATCGTCAATACCATTTCAAAGCTACGGTTAAGTTAAATCACTCTGCTGGTTAATTTTATGGTGGTACATAATCTATCCATCTCTACTCATATGACACTTTAACTTCAGAAAACCTGAAAGACTAAAATCGTTCGTTTTGCAGGTGCTTTCCGAATGGACTTCGACAAATCCTTACCAAGTCGACACTCTATGTTTGACATCACGCAAACCGGACCGTCTTTTGTTTCTCCCGCGCCTTACCCCGACGCGTATCCGGAACAACTGACGCAACCGTCACCCATTACATCCCCAGAAACCAAAAGCCCTCATCCAAATCGGCGAGTAAAAAGCGTCTACGTGAACTCCAATCGACGGTTTCCACAAACCACTGTTCTTACTCAGGCCATAAAACAGCCAAACGACCCGGCCCAAATAGAGGAGGATTCCGCTGAGCCAACTAATACATTTGCTCCCGAAGCACCGGAACCTCTTCGTATGGACTATTTGACACATGTTTCACGTGCGGACATACGGCGGCGGATACATGGATCAGAACGACAACGACCCTATTCTCAGGATCGAATTGGTCCAGAGCAGACAAATCAGAACGTTCGTAGACGCCAGGGAGTATCAGAGATTCAACAGTTGCGTGAATCACGAGTTAAAAAAATCATCTCACTTCAAGACATGGAGAATATAGATCTCTTTTCAGAATCTGAGTGAGTTCATATCTTGTAACTGCCTAAAATATGCTCTTTTATACTGTGAATGAAATTTCATAAAGGTCTTAGCATTGAATCACAACGTTTCGAAAACAGGTCGAAACATCTAAAAAGGATAAACACGTGATCTTTGATAACTGTATAATATCAAACTTGATTACTGAATAAAGGATGCCTACCAACACCTCAAGTAATATAAATAGTGAAGCTAAAAGGACAATATATACCATTCTCAACTGCTTCATTAAAAGATTTATTCGGAATAGGTTGACGCCTATTTGTTTATAAAAAGTGCGATAAAAAAGAACTTCTGATAGACTGTTTAATACCATAAACGCCGTGCATTCGTAAATGAAATTACAGAAGACTCTGCAGTTCGAAGGAAATTGAGGGCTTTTGCGTATTAGTTCTATTGCACAATACTTCACCGGCCTGGCCAAATATTCTTTCAGTGTTTATAGCATTATTTGATTTAACCTTAATGGTGCTGACAGGTGAACCTTCTATCATGTTGTTTGACCAAGGTTTCTGGGATGTGCCACATTTTGGTTGGGCGATAGACCAGCGGCAGATCATTTGATTATATATATATATATATATATATATATATATATATATATATATATAA